GTCAGAGAAGCAATAGAAGGCAATTGACTTCAGAGGATCTGCCACCAGGAAACAAAACCTTGATAGGTGAATCTCAGATAGGCAAGGTCCCAAGAGCCTCAGCCCCAGAGTGTCTCTTGCTACTGCTATGTTTTTATACGTTTGTCACTGCCATTTTTCTCTGATATCTGTCATGGTGTGCATGGGTGTGAGGAGATCCCCACTGCCATTAATGCAATATGATCATCTCATGGAACTATCCCATTCAGCTGGGCATTTTTACCTATGGGTTATTATGAAGATGATTTCCTCCTAAGCTGTACTGTTCAACTGAAGCAATGATTTTATACAATAATAATGTTAATTTAAATAGGATTTTGATGATTGAGGGGTTTTAGTAAACATAGTAAGGGATGATAATAGAGATTAGTTTAGTGGGAAAATTAACATAGGTAAAGGTAGAACAAAATGTTACCCCTGCCTCTGATAAAGCAGAGGTTGCAAAGGATAAAAAATAGAACAAGGAAGTGTCACAGAGCTAGAACACATGAGTTTCTATTGAGGAACCATATATACTATGGCTTAGGTTAATGATTAAGAAAAATAATTGAGTCCCAGTAGCCCAACTAGCTTACATTCTTTTAATCTTAATGTTGGGGGATGTGTTCACAGGTTTCAGAGTACATCATAGCTGAAACAAAGCCTTAAAATGACTTTAAATGTTTAAAATGGTTATGTTAAGATGTTTTGATAATAGCTTTGAGGTTAAAAAAATCCTTAAAATCAATCTAAAGTTCACAAGGACACATAGGCGAGCAATGGATTCATTAAGGTTAGGGATCAAAAACAAAGCAGCCCAATTATTATTAGCTGACATGTCTTTCTTTCTAGGATGGGTTGGTAACCAAGAGCAAGGAAGAATTTCTTGTACTCATTTCTACCCTCTGCTTCCTGATATATTTATATATAAAACTGTTGATGAGTAGGTATGCACCCTGAGGATATAAAATAGAGCTGACTGATTTGTTTTCATATATAAAAGTTTAGATTTATGATTCTTCTAAGATTTCTTATAACATTACCTTTGAGACAAAAAAATAAAATATTTGGTCCTTTCTTTGTAACCACAAATGTAGCCTGCCAGCAAAAGAACTAGCTAAGAAAAATACCTTGTTTGATCAGAGTCTCTTCAACTATAACAAATTGCTTGGACAGGAATGCATTTGGGTTCTTGGGACACTTGTTTTTCACCTTTAATATGCAAAATGTTTAATCATGTAAGTGATATGGAAAACATGCTTTTAAAAAAACTTGTATTCATTGTAACCATTCACTTGAAAAATACAGTGTAACTACATTGTAATTTTTAGGTTGCTTGAAAGATTTTGCTGTGGTATATAAGCTGTAAGGGAAAAAATAAAGTTAGTCAGAAGGAAAACATCAAGAATGAGAAAAGGAAAATACTAGGAAAGCTGTAGAGGAAAATTAAGAAGGAGAATAAAGAAAAAGTCAGAAAGAAACCATCAAGAGAGTTTGTGTATTTTTCCCTTACTCCCTCAGAATTAAAAAAAAAATAGTCTTAGTTTGACAACTCTATGGATCCCCATGAAACCTTTCCTTGCTGGAGGCTGGTCCTCAGGGCAGTGGTATTATCTGCTCTCTGTATATCTATCTATTCAATAGAGTACTTGAATTTCTAGCTACAGCAATAAGACAATGAAAGGAAATCAAGTGGATACAAACTGGAAAAAAAAGTCAAACTATCATTATTCACAGATGATATGATAGAATACATAAGCCACCCACAAAAAAATCTACCAGAGAACTTCTACAGCTAATACACACCTTTAGTTAAGTGGTAGATGCAAGACTAACAAAAAAAAATCAGTAGCTTTCCTATATACAGACAATAAATGAGCTGAGATAGAAATCAGAAAATCCACAGCCTTTACAATAGTCTCAAATAATATAAACTATCCTAGTGTAACTCTAACCATGCAAGTGAAAGACCTGTATGACAAGAATTTCAAATCTTAGAAGAAGGAAATTGGAGAAGGTATCAGAAGATGGAAAGATCTCCTATGCTCATGGATCAGTAGGATTAACATAGCAAAAATGGCCATCCTACCAAAAGCAATCTGCAGATTCAATGCAATTCCCATTAAAACTCTAACACAGTTCTTTACAGATCTTGAAAGAGCAGTACTCAACTACATATAGAAAGAAAAACCTCAGGATAGCCCAAACAATCCTGTATAAAAAAAGAACCTCCAGAGGCATCACCACCCCTGGTTTCAAGCACAACTACAGAACTATAGAGACAAATGGAGTGGGTAGCTGGTCCAGCTTTGGTCTGGAAGTTCAACCCCCACTGAGGCTTTGGCAACTGTCACGCCTACAAAGTGGAGCCGAGAGAGGGCCCTGAAGATCAGAGATCCGGATGCACCAGCTCTCTTGGTTCCTGGACCCTGGACACTGGAGGTAGACTGAGCAGAGTTCTCCAGAGAACACCACTGGACTATGCTACACCTTTCCCAGACCCTGTAAACTATCCCTTCACTTGTAAGTTACCCCACAAAATAAACCTCTCCTTTTAATTACATGGAGTTGCCTTAATATTTCAACCAATATCTGGCACCCAACAAGTGCGTGTGCGAGGAGATAGCCATTATCCCCAGCAAGAAACTCCGCAACTAGATAGCCGGCTATGTCACGCATCTGAGGGAGAGGATTCAGAGAGGTGCTGTGAGAGGCATCTCTATCAAGTTGCAGAAAGAAGAGAGAGAAAGGAGAGATAATTATGTTCCTGAGGTCTCAGCCCTGGATCAGGAGATCATTGAGGTAGATCCTGACACAAAGGAAATGCTGAAGTTTCTGGACTTTGGCAGCCTCTCTAACCTGTAGGTCACTCAGCTTACAGTTGGGATGAATTTCAAAACATAACATGGAGCCATTTGAATCGGTTCTGTCATATTTTCAATAAACCTGAAAACAAAACAACAAAAAAATGGTCTATTGAGCAAAGAACTGTCCTTGCCTCAACTGCTGACAATATGAGTGCTGTCCTTCTGGACAAGCAGGACACAAGGAAAAGTGACTTCTGGACTCTGCCAAGACAGGTTAAGATGGTCCTTCAGAATTCCTGCTTCTGAAAATGGTCTGTCAGATACTCCAGGCCTGTAGCCAGTTTGAATGCACCAACAATGCTGATAAACATTAGGTGACTGTCCAGGCTGCCAGCTGTCTCTGTCTACTCTTGCAAGATTCCCAAAAGTTGCTTGCATCCATCTTCCATTTCTCAGGTATCATTATATTCCTTCTCAGGTCTTTGATGGGATTGAAGACTAGCAGTTATAGTTACAACTTAGTATATATAATGTCTTAGATAGAACATATTAAGTATTAGATTCAGGTTCTTTAGGATAGGACACCTTTAGGAATGATCTTTGTAACATGCCATTTACCTATGCTCTAGACTTCTCTGGATTTTAGTATGTGTCTCTTGCTTGATATTTTTCACATTGGTTGTAGTTCCAGCTTATCTAGGTCATTATCCCTTATTACTCCTGGATAATATTTGATAATCATTCCTATTGTATATAGTCTTGTATTAGGTTAGAATCTTTTTATTTAGACAAAAGTGGGAGATGTAGTAGGTAGCCATTCCAGCTTTGATCTGGAAAAAAACACCCCCATTGAGGCTTCAGTAACTGTCACACCTACAAGGCAGAACCGAGAGAGGACCCCTGAAGACCCAAGATCTGGATGGGCTGGCTCTCTTGGTTCCTGGACCCTGTATGCTGAAGGTAGACCAAGCAGAGTTCTCCAGAGAACACCGCCAGACTGTGCTACACCTTTCCCAGACCCTGTAACATATCCCTTCACTTGTAAGTTACCCCACAAAATAAACCTCCCTTTTAACTACATGGAGTTGCCTTAATATTTTAACCAATAGATAAAGACAGCATGGTATTGGCATAAAAATAGACACAGGGTCAAAGGAATAGAATTGAAGATGTAAATCCACAGACCTATGGACACCTGACTTTCGACAAAGAAGCAAAAATTATACAATGGAAAAAAGAAAGCATCTTCAGCAATTGGTTCTGGTCCAACTGGGTGTCAGCATGTAGAAGAAAGAAAATAGATTAATAGATATCACCCTGCAGAAAACGCAAGTTCAAGTGGATCAAAGACCCCAACATAAATCCAGATACACTGAACCTGATAGAAGAGAAAGGAGATAATCTTTAACCCACTGGCACAAGAGACAACTTCCTGAACAGAATATCAATAGCACAGGCACTAAGATCAACAATTAATAAATGGGACCTCATAAAATTGAAAACCTTCTGTAAGGCAAAGGATACCATCAATAGGACAAAATGGCAGCCTACAGAATGTGAAGATCTTCACCAACCCCACAGAGGGCTGATTTCCAAAACACATAAAGAACTTGAGAAACTAGATGTCAACAAAGCAAATAATCCAATTTAAAAATGGGGTACAGATCAAAATAGAGAATTCCAAACAGAAGAATATCAAATGGTTGGGAAACATTTAAGGAGGTGTTCAGCATCCTTAGCCATCAGGGAAATGAAAATAAAAAAGACTAGGAGATTCCATCTTACACCTATCAGAATGGCTAAGATCAAAAACACAAGTGGCAGTTCTTGCTGGAGAGAATGTGTAGCAAGGGGAACACTCCTCCATTGTTGCTGGGAGGGCAAACTTGTACAGCTATTTTGGTTGTCAGGGTGGAGGTTTCTCAGAAAACTATGAATCATTCTCCCACAAGACCCAGCGATATCACTCTTGGACATATACCCAGAGGATGCTCTATCCTACTGCATGGACACTTACTCAACAATGCTCATAGAACCTTATTTGTAATAAACAGAACCTAGAAACAACCTAGAGGCCCCTCAACCCAGAAATGAATAAAGAAAATGTGCTACGTTTACACAATGGAGTATTACTGAGCTGTCAAATACAAGAACACCAGGAAATTTGAAGGCAAATGAATGAAACTAGAAAAAGTCATCCTGAGTGAGGTAATTCGGACTGAGAAAGACAAACATGGTATGTGCTCACTCATAAGTAGATATTAGCTACAAAATAAAAGATAACTATGCTGCAATCCACAGACCCAGAGAGACTAGGTAACAAGGAACATTTCTGGGGGGATGCCTGGATCTCCCTTGGAAGGGGAAATGGAAGAGATTTTGTGAGTAGATTGAGGGCCAGTGAGGATAAAAACATGAACAATCAGGTTGGGTGGTGGGTAGAAGAAAGAGTACTGAAAGAGATTACTGGAAAGAGAGAAAATCGTCTCAGGGTCAGATAAAAACCTGGCACAAGGGAATCGCCCAGGAATCTTTAAGGACTAAAAGGATGGGCTCAATTAAGACTCCTAGCATTAGCAGATATATAGCCTAAAAGGCCATCTCCTGTGACCAGATTGGCACCTAGCTGAATTGTCTTCAGAGTGGTTTCATCCAGCAACTGATGGAAACACGTAAACATTAAGTAGAATTCGGGGAATTCCGCAGAAGACAGGGAGAAAGGATCGTACGAGCCAGAGGGGTCAAGGACACCACAAGAAAACTCACAAAATCAACTAACCTGGGCTCATCAGAGCTCAGAGACTGAACCAACAACCAGGGAGCCTGCATAGGACTGACCTAGGCCCTCTCTATATTTGTAACAGCTGCGTAGCCTCTTGTAGGACTCCTAACAGTAGGAATAGGAGCTGTCTCCAACTCTTTTACTGACTTTTGGGACTCTACTCCTCGTACTGGGTTGCCTTGTCCAGCCTTGATACATCGGGAGGTGCTTAGTCTTACTGAAAGTTCATACACCATGGGCTTTTTTTGATACTCTTGGAAGACCTGCCCTTTCCTAAACAGAAACAGAGGGGAAGTCGATCAGGGTGTGGGAACAGAAAGGGGTGGAGTGGGGAACTGGGAGAGAAAGGAGGAGAAACTGCATCCAGGATGTATAAAAAATTATTTTATTTACCTATTAAAATTAAAAAGATTGTGAGACCTCTTTAGGTGCTTTCTTTTAAGTTGTTCAAGATCCATTGGAAAGGAGGGCAATACTAACGTGAATGCTTCCTGGTACTGTTTTCAAGATGAGAAAATTGAAACTCAAGGACACCAAGAAATTAATTCAAAACCCTCCACCTGGAAGGGATCTGGAACCCAAATGTCGGGCTTTGACCTTCGTACCCTACTTTGTATCAGTTGTCTTCATCCATGTCACACAGGTTGCATGGCACTTGGTCCATAGTAAACCCTCCATATACTTCAGCTTCAACTAAAATAAGGTAAAGTGTATCTCACAATAGGAAGGATAAGAGAGAAATGTGCTTCTGGAGACCCAGTCCTATGTGTTGCTTTCATTCCTCTCTTCCTTCTGACTGTGGAGCAAGGAAACCTGAGACTAGTAAATGAGCTGTGGTAGAGCTAGAGGTCAGGCTGATATCCCAAAAGGAGACACAGTTTCTCATATGCCTTATTTCATTCCTGCTTTTCACAATGGTGTGACCATTTCCTGGAAGATATTATTCATTCTTGATAATTTATTATGAGCAGGGAGGTCATTTTGGTGTCCTCTTCCTCCCTCCCGTCCCTGTACATTATGCTTTGAATAATCAGAGCGATAGGTGCACCGAGAAGCCCGGGCGAGGCTGGTCCTTTGTTATTACTCTTGTCTCAGTGCAGTCTGGCTTTGATAATAAAGAGCCCAATGAGGTTTCTTATGTTCAATTCACTTCTACCTAGTCTCCATAATGAAGGGGAGAAGTCCACATAACCCTTTGATGCTGATGTGGGCTCTGGTTTATAATTCCATGTTCAGAAGTAAATTGCAATTTAAATACGGTGTGAGCTGTTAGTTTTGTTACCTCCCCTTTTCATCTTCCTTCTCCTCCATGCCCTCTCCCCGAAGTGGCCCAGGCGTTGTTAAATGGCTCACCATTGACAGTAAGCCACCGCATTCTAGGAGCTAGCTCTGTGTTTCTTGTCAGTCAGTTGACTGCAATGAAAAAGCTTTATGACAAGGCAAGCGCTCTGCCTGTGTTCTCAGCATAGCACATTCCTAGCTAAGCCCAGTGCACACACAGTCTCAGTACTTTATGATTTTATGTCTCTGCCTGTGCAACCTCACTGAAGCTTATGTCGATTTCATTTAAGGGAAGGTATTCTTGCTACAATCTGTTGTATTCTCTTTTAATTTGGAAGGAGGTATTTAAGTACACAAATTTTTCCTTTTTTAAAAGAGGTATAAATATTACACTATGAAAGAGATTTTTGGTCTGGAGAGATGGTTTAGTGGGTACTGTCCTTGTCTTAGGTGCACACAATTAGGACCTGAGTTCAATACCTGCAATAAATGTACAAATATATTAGCAGAGTAGTGAGTGCCTGTAATCCCAGCTTTGGGGAGGCAGAGACAAATGGATCCCGGAGGCTTGCTGACAGCCAGTCTAGCCTAACTGATGATTTACAGGCCAGTGAGAGACCCTGTCTCAAAACAAAAGGTAGATCGATGGCACCTGGGGAAAGACATTGAGTTTGTCATCTGGCCTACACACACACACACACACACACACACACACACACACACACACACACACACACACACACGTGAGCTGAAGCTGAACCCACACACACACATAAACACACCTACATTTTTATTTATATTATTATGAATGAGTAAAAACAAAGGCTTATTAATAAAATAAAATATCATTTCTATAAAAACATAGAAAGCTGTGCTAACATTTTGTTTTCTAGTTGACAATCTAACTTCATTTTTTTCTTCTTTTTCATTTAGTTATTATTTCTTACAGGATTTGAACTGTGTCTTTTTTTCAACAGTTTAAGACCTTATAACTGTATAGTCAGACTCAGTATTCCTCAGGCTCTAGCACTTAGAAAGTTGGGCTTGTCCTGGCATAGTCTTCAGATATGAAGTACGATGGCCATGGCCTCTGGATATTTCTTAACTGATGAAAAACCTCGTAAGGTAGGAGTGGACTTAATGAACACACTTAAAATACTAGAGGCATTCCCATCAATCAACATAACCTTTAAACTCAACCCTCCTTCTCACTGTTTCAGTGGCTTATTTCAGTCATTAGTGCCTATCACAGACATGACAGGCTGGGATTCCTTGCACACAGATCATGCAAGGTTTAATTTCCTCTAGGAAGATCACGTTCCCAGTATTTTCATGTATATTAAAATAGCCATTAGGAAGAATACTTATACTGAATTTGACAAATAGTTAATTTTTAACTATAGAACAAGAAGTTAACAGATGTGCCTTTTGCACAGGAACCTACATTTTGCAATGAGTAACAAGGGTCACATGCTTAACACTGAAGTAACTGACATTTGCAATTGTCATCAAACGATGCTATTACAGTGCACTGATAATATTTTATTAAAAGTATTTTTTTATGAATTTTGACCAGTTACAAAAGATTATTGAAAATGATTGTTGCATAAAGAATTTTTTGGAGCAAAATGGAAGACAACAATACCACAAACAATGATGGCTTTCTTTCATGGTCATCTGTAGCCTCAGGCCTGAACTATTCCCACCAAATAGCAGCCACACACAAAAACCAGTCATTATATTAATATTAATTATAATAATTAATATAGTATAATAATATATATTATTCAGGTTTGGAATAATATTTCAAAAGATTAAAGGTCACTCACATTTCATATTTGCTTACATTCTTTGACTTAAAATCAATAAAATAATTTTTTTACTAATTTTTTTTAAAACCCATATAAAAAGAGCTAGGAGAAATTTATAACTTTAATAAATTGAGTATCACTGAAACTTCTGTGCGGGTTTTGTTTCCTTAGTGACTGAGTGTCTGGGCACTGGAATTTGCCAGACCTGGGCTGCACTTAAACTCTCCTGTGTATGAAGTTTTAAACTCGGAGCAGGTTGCTAATTCTTTGGAAGTCTCCATGTTCTCACGAATGCAGCATAAACAATACATTTCTTACAGCTGATGCGAGGATGAAATGGACAGTGGTGTCCGGGACTCTAAACGGAGTTCTCGGCAGGCAGTAAAATTTAAAATAACAAAAATGCTCAGAATGGGGTTATTCTATCAATAAATTTAAAGTTGACCCATCATTAGAAATGCACATTTTAATTTTATTTCAGAAGTGGCCTTAGTTAAAGTGCCACAAGATCTGTCATAGAACTTGGGAAGGCAATGCCTGGCTCACTAAAATTTTATCTAATATATACAAAAGACATTTTATTTCTACAAAGGATCCCCTCTGCCGTGTGTGTGTGTGTGTGTGTGTGTGTGTGTGTGTGTGTGTGTGTGTGTGCTCTCCTGTGAATAGTAATCCCTAATTTCCTGAATGTGTGTAGATATTCCAGAAGACAATCTTAAGAGACTATGAGCAGGTCATGGTGAAAGGATCCAGAGTTCGAACTCCCTTCTGCCCAGTCACGCTTCTTACTTGCCCAACACGCAATTCAGCTGACCTACCCCAGCAACATCAGTTTGACTTCTTCCCTGAAGCTTCTGTAGGAATTAAGAAGGTAGCTGGAGATTGTTTTGCCCTTTTCTTAAACATTTAGACCCCATCCTGTATTCTCACACTTTCTTACTTTGTGACTGAGACTTCATTTCTCATTTTTGAAATGATGCCTCAAGGGTTTAGTGTGAAGGCTAAGTGAGAAGTTCACTTTAAAACGGACCCTATTTCTTAGCACCATAGACTATCATCCCGAAAAAGATAACACCTGCCATGTCAACTCAAGCAAAGTAACTAAGTGCCTCAAAATTCTCTTTCTGATACATCTCAAGATACTGAGCTATAGGGCTCTTGCAAATTGAGAGACCTGGTGGTAAGTATTAACTGTTTTTTCTTCTATTTATGAGATTATAGTTACATCATTCTCTTCTACCTCCAAACCCTCCCATACACCTCTTCTTGCTATCTTTCAAATTCATCATCTTTTTCATTATTACATACATATATGCATGTATACACACACATATTTATTTATTTACATACCTAAATTTAGCCTTATCAGTCGTTATGTTTAACAAGCAAGTTCCGTATATCAATTATTGAAAGTCTAAGTGTTGTCTAGAGGTATCTCACCAGTGTACTGAAAGTTTATAATCACTTGACTATCAGTTGAACCTTTTATGAGAATGTTGGGGGCTTACTTAATCAAGTGAAAGTCACTTGGCAGAGAAGTTAAACCAGAGGAAAGGAGAAAGGAGAAGAAAAAGATGCATCTGCATGTGAACAATCCTCTTCATCTTGTGTGTGTAGCTGCATGCTTATGGTACTGATTCTATCTCTCTGGTTGTCCATGTACTGATAACAAAGCTCAGCTTGATGACCATCCTGTCATTTTATTTACATGCCACACTGGGCCAGGGAGAAAAGCTTGATGATCAACAAACATGTTTTGATTCTAGATGGATAGTGTCACAACTAAGTCATTTCTCAGCACCATGAAAACATGGATGCAAATGAGTACTTGGAAATTTGTTGCCTTCATACCTGCAGACACAAAGACTTAGATATGATGCTACACTTTTCGTCCCTTCCCTAGGTCACATGATTTACTAGGAAAAATGGCATACAATGCACTTCATTTTAAAACTATAAAAAATTATTCTGGAGTTAAGGGCATATGTTGTTTTTTTTTTTTTCCAGAGGTCCCATATTCAATTCCTACTACCCATGTCAGGGAGATGATTTGCCTGTTGATAGCACATACTGCTCTTCCAGAGGACCTGGGTTCAGTTCCCGGCACCCATGTTGGATAGTTCACAACTACCTATATAACTCAAGCTCCAGGGTACAAGGAGCTCTGTCCTCTGTGGGAACCTATACACATGTGCATGCCCACACATGTAGACATACCAATATACACATAACTAAAATAAAGCTAAATCTTTAAGACAAATATGTTTTTGTACATGTCATGTACCAAATACCCGAGATCCACACTGTCACTGACTGCAAAGGGCAAGGAAGCTTCTTTTGCAGTAGTATTGATGACTTCAGACTCACAGTTGAGAGGGAGACATAGAAACAGTCTAGATAGGAGGCCATTGAAGAGAAAGAACTCTTAAAAATTGTGGTAGGGATGCTGGAGTGTAACTTTAGTTGATGGCTTCTGGCTTGGCTGGGGTGAGGAAGGACTCAGTTCTATTTAAGGAGCTGTGTGCTGGGCATTTGACCACGCTCCAGTGAGTACATAAACAACAGACATTCTATTTTTTCTGTTTTTCTTCTTTTGTTTTGGGGCAGGTCACAAGGGTGGGACATAAAAAGTTTGTAGAGCTTGCCTAAGACTGAGGTAGTAGATAAGAGCCAAGCTCCAGGGTCACAGTCCCTGAATGGTATGTTACACCTAGCATGTGGAAAGACCAGGAAGTCTACAAAAGCACGAACTTCTACAGTTCTGAAGGATGGAAGTCCAATGTGCAGATGCTGAATGACAGGTTTCTTCTGAAGTTGCCTTTCATGACTGCCAAGGGAATGAGATTTCTCTATTGTCGTCACAGACTCTTTCCTCTCTGCAGGTGCAACCCTCAGGCCTCTGTACAAGCCTTCTCTCCTCACATGGACATAGTCTTTGGGTTGTGTCCACCTTAACCACGTCACTATCACTCAATCACTGCTTTATTGTGCCTGTCTCCAAATGGAGTCATACCATGAGGTATTTCTGGGTAGGTTTTCAATAGGCGAATTTGAGGAGGAGGGATATAATTCATCCTGAAGTAACCATTATGACTCTATTTCTATTATTGCTAAAAGGATCTAACTACATTGAGCACTGGGTAGCTGTGTAATAAGAGACTAAGCACACGGAAAAAATAGAACAGCTCAGCCCTGTGCTGGTGGCTCAGACAGTTCACTAACCCCAGTTTTGAATATTGTAGAGTATTTGTTGTTTTGTGCTTTATCAATATCATGTCTAGGTTAGGGAAGTTTAGGAAGCTTCACAGCTGGGTTTATTTGACTTGAAGTTTGGAGGCATTCTTAGAAAAAGAAAAGTCTCATAAACTCACAAGTTTCAAAGATGCCATAAGAGAAATCAGTGCCTGAAGGAGCCTGAGGAATTTTCTCATAAGAGAGTGAGAAACAGGGTGAGGAGTAGGTAAGAAAAAAGGCAATGTGGGAGAGTATTGTTCAAAATGGGTTTGAAGCTTGGGTCAGTGTTTGGGAGTGGGGAAGGCAGCAGAACATTTCAATACCCAGCAGACTAACACACACACACAGCTGGACACAGCAGCACTTTTCTTCACCCTTCCCATTTCCAAGCTTCTCATTCATAGAAAGGCCATGATTAAAATCAGCAAGTAACCCTTTGTTTTGTAGACAGGTAGCACAAATGAAATAGTTGTATCCTCCAACATTCCAAGAGTTGCTTTTCTTCAAACATGGAGGGGAAACTAACGAGGACCACTTTTAAAAATGCCTACATAAAGGATGGAAAAGAGAGAGGTTTATTAAGCACCTGCTATAGGCTGTCAAAAGCACCTGATAGTCACTGTATATTTAATATTAAAGACTATAAGACCAATGACTCAATGATCTCATTTGTTCCTCTCAACAGCTCTGGCATATGCAGGCACAAAATCAGAAAATTCTGGGAAGCCATCTACTCAAGGACACAAAGCTAGCAAGACCCATGTCCACCATGCAACTCTTTTTCCAAGAATGTCACACCACCCTTTCCAATGTATCCCTTAGGAAGTATGATGAAGGAAAATGACACCAATATGAAAACATTCTTTTCTTCTTTGGAAAGGAAAGCACTGTTCTTAAATAAAAGAGTACTTCTGATTAGAATATTTATAAAGGTTAATGAGAAACAAAATGAACTGAAAACCAGCAGGGAAATATTCCCAGATGTAAATAACAAACTTCTACAGTTCTAATTATATAAGAAAACATCCCAAGCAGAAAGTCAATTTATTTTCATCAGATACAAGGGGATCAGCAAAGTAAGACTTCTGCCACTGTCTGTCTGTACTTTGTGAAGTTCTGACACTGGAGCCAGCTGCCCTCTGCATAGGCAAATAGTTACAGATGGCTGGAGAGGTGGCTGAGAGAAGAATGAAGTCACCACCGTTACAGTGAAGAACTTAACAAAATCAAGGAAGACCGTTGGGGATTCTTATTTTTTTCTCAGACAGTGAGAAAGGACAAAAATGAGTGGGAATGATTCTTCTGTGTGAGTGCAAAAACAAGTTTGGGAAAGTTGATATGCTGTATTCTCCAGAAGTTTTCTACATTATAGAGTCATGATCCCTGAATCAAAGGCCCTGGGGACATCTGATCATCACCATAGTCAAGTGCCATAGTCCCAGTGGCAACAGATCTTTTTGCAGTTTGGGAGAAACCATAGTATGACATAAACATGTGATGTTCAGTAGATAATTCAGGAATGATCAATCCTTTTGGCCCATGAGAACTCTTTCATAAGAGTCAAGACAGGCCATACCTACAAAATTAATTTTCTTTTGTACTGATAAAGAAAATACAAATCAAATACCATCTGATAGAGGTTTCACCTACATCAGAGAACAAACAAAATACAATGCTCTTCATTTAAGACCCTTACCACCATCTGTTTCCCTCATCTGCTTCTATCTCAGCTTCCTGGGCTTTCACAGCATCTCAAACACCAGACACAGACATGCAATGAATATCACCACCTTCCACCTGTCCCCTGCCCACTCACCACCCTTCTTTCTCTATTTCTGTTGGGTACCATTGTTACTGAGGCTTACAGCCCCAATGAGATTCAGGCTAAACTCCTTCTTGGTCATTTCTGCCAATTCTACATTCGTGAAATCCCCAGATCCAGTCCCCTATTTGGAATTGAGTGTCAAAAGTTGCCTGGGTCAAAACCAACAATAGCACTACTTTACAGCACATCACTGTGAGCCTGTTAAATGTGAGGTGCTGGATCAGGTACCCAGGAAGGGAGGGATCCTATTCTTTTTTTTTTTTTTTTTTTTTGGTTTTTCGAGACAGGGTTTCTCTGTGTAGCTTTGCGCCTTTCCTGGAGCTCACTTGGTAGCCCAGGCTGGCCTCGAACTCACAGCGATCCGCCTGGCTCTGCCTCCCGAGTGCTGGGATTAAAGGCTTGCGCCACCATCGCGGCGGGATCCTATTCTTAAGCAGCTCCCACTACTAGGAGAAATTATCAGAGATGACTGTCAGACAGATAGGAATGGTAAGTCCCACTCAAGGAAAGGAGTCAGGGGTCAACTGGAAGAAGAGACAAATGAACGTCTGAGCAATGGCAGCCTGGTTTTCTTTAAGCCAGTCTTGACAACTGATCTATTAGTTCTTAAGGACCTAAGAATAAGTAGTACTAGGCTTCTACCAAATGCCCACTGTAAATGCAAGCCCTAGATTTACACCTTACCCTTGTGCTTCCTTCTTGTGAATAATAAAGTGTCAATCCCCCATCAAGCTAAAGAACGTGCCTTGATTTCATGAGCCCTTGCAAAAAGGAATTGCAGAGAAGAACAGTCTCATACTACAGGTAATTTCACCCTTAATATATAATATACAGGGAAAGCTTGTGCAGGGGGGAGGGTAAGAAAAAAAGAACAGCACAAAGTGACAGCGTGGAGATTATTCAAATGGGTTGTGTTAAAATGGAAGTCACATAAATATTAGAAATGTGCTCTTTTGGGCAAAGACTCTACAGACCAAATTGTCAATAGGAATGAATTTTAATCACTAGGTTATAACCTCTTAGATGCTTCAAAACCTCACAGACTTGTAGTTAAAATGTAGCACTGTTGTCATGTAAGAGCAATTAAGAATTCTGCAGGGAACATTTCCTACTGAAGAACTTGTTTGCCTCACTTTGGGAAACCAGGATATTTCTAACCATTTAAAACAAAACTTGTCTAATTTATTTATCTGCAAATGTTAACAAACTATTTATATCCTAAATATTGAATGGCATTAATAACAATTTAGTCTCTCCTTGGGGTGAATGCAAATATCAACATGAAATCTGATACTTGTGCTCATTTACAGTTTTTTCTCCATTTTTGAATGTAGCAATTTCTTTTTAAATCACTTGGGCCTTGAATATAGTTGGACAAACAAAGATACCCAATGTGCAGGTGCCCTTATGAGTGTTGGGATACAGGAAAGCTGTTGAATGGCTTCCATAAGCTCTACTTTCCAAGTCTCAATATTTTGCTCTCCCCTCCCTCAGTGAGTCCACCAGGAAGTATGGCTGGGGTAGTGGTTTGCTCACTAGTAGGGGAAAGCCTCTGATATTAGGGAGACCTAAAGAGTTAGTCACTCTTGAGGCTGCTCTTAGCATTTAGTAAGCTAAAAACTATACCTTGTAAGCCTCTGAGTACTGGGAAGAGGAAAGAAAATGACCTTTATAGCCAGTCCTTAAAAGTATCTCTCTTCTGTTCAAATAACATGAAACCATGGCTTTCTATCCAAAACTGAATTTATTCCCTAGACTAAACACAGAGGAAGCTACAGGTTTTCATGAACCCCCCAACTCCTAACATTCCAGCTTTTCCTTAGTTAAAACAACATGTCTTCTAAAGATATTTCCTAAAATCAAGTGTTATTTTCTATAGAGAGTTATTCTTCTACAGATTAACCTGTTTCACTTCTGATTTTCTTCTCAATGACTGTCTTATACTGGAGGACGAATCTAAGAAAAGGAGGTAAGGGTTGTTTTAGGAAAAATGGAAGAAATGAGCTGGAACATGGGATAAGGAGGACCAAGATGACGGGCAGAAAAATATCAGATTCGGGCAAGTAATAATACAAGTCTTGAACGTGGAGAGATAGTCCATGGAAAATAGTGACTTGTATTATAAAAGAAGGGTACAGCAGTAAAATGTACCCACCATGGTATCACCTAGAGACAACTATGAGAAATTCTCCTTGCAACCTTAACAAGCCCCAAGGAGCAAAAAAGAACCTGGAATATCATCAAATAATATGTTAGATATATCAGGTCCTAGAAGCCAAAGCTATGGCAAATAATGAGTCCTGAACCCTGAACATCTCAGAGCTGTTCTGCAGCAACCAGCCTAGAAAGATGACGGGATGTGTCCCACAGGCACTGAGTGCCTCCATCACTGTGCAATGCAAGACTCTGGGCCTCCCAGACTTGATGCTTTATGTCTGCAATGAAATCCACAGGCATGGCCTTCACAGGCGCCCTGCTGTGGCCCATGACTGCATTTGTGTCATGTGGGAGATGGGGGTGGGGCACAGAATAATGTTTTTGAGGTTTTTGTCCCATGAGTAATAAATTCTTTTGTGTCAGAACTGGTGAAAAGGTTCAACATATAAAGTGCTTCCTTTCCAAGCATAAAAACCCAAATTCAATCTCTAGCATCCATGTAAAAGGGCTGAGCACAGAGGTGAGTGACTAATTCCAGGATGGGAATATCTTAGATATCTTTGTCCATATGAGACTCTGTCTCAAAATATAAGTGAGAGTGTAATCAAGGAATACATCCTCCATCAATCTGTGGCTTCCAGATGCGCAGGTATGCACATACACTTTTGTCTCTTGTCTAGTACTTGTATATATTCTTAGCATCCATAACACAGAAAATAGATCATTGACTTATTACCTCAGAAGTAGGGTTCAGTTGGAGACCTAACACCAGGAACTGCTAGAAGAGTAGCCACTAATAGGGATGTAATGCATGCATCCCAACTATTCTACTAGAGGAGGAGGTGAAGATCCCAACTTCAAACCAAGGATGAAGATATGCTATAATACAGTTCAGTCAGGGGGACCAGCACAAAACCAGCCCTTCCTCTAATCAGCCTAGAAACTTACATGAGGATTTCCTTTAAAATGCTTTATACTTGTTCGTGCCTTCATAACACTAAAATTCTGCTACTAAAATATATTTCTTGCTATTCTTAGAAATGACAACTAATATGACTCCTTCCCTTGGGAGTGGTCTAAGAACCTTGTAAATATTAGTAGTCCCTCAAACAGTATCTTTCTATGGTTGGAATTCATGTTTGTCCCTTTTACAGAGGAAGAAACAGAGGTACAAAGACATCACAATCTTACTACAAAGGCATACTGATCAAGAATTTGAACTCACCAATCTGTCTGCAAAGACAGTGCCCTTAGTTGTCACTTTCTAAAAGTTTCTATAAAGTGAAGATAAGAATGGCCTGTGAAAAAGAAAGTTACTGTTTTAATACATTTTGTTTCCAGGTATTTCTACAGTTATCTCACACAATCTTCTCCTGGCAAGAGGAGTATTGTCATCACCATTATACAGATAAGGAAAGTGGGACTCTGAGAAGACATATAACTCAGCCAACAGCAAGCAGACAGGAAATTGAAGAAACCAGAATGTAGAATTCAGGGTTAATGTATTCCAAACTCTGTTTTTTCAGTTACTTAATGTTGTTCTCAGGACAGTTGGTGGAAAGTCTGTGCAAACAGACAACAAACTTCTGACTGGGAAACAACCAAATTAATTCAGTATCAGATGACTACCAAGGAGCTTCTGCCACATCCACCCGGGCTGCACTGTGGCTTCACTGCAGCCTTTGCTCTGAAAACATAGCCTCTCTAGTGCACGTTGTACTGCGCATGCCCCTACACCTGCAACACCACAGATGCCTACCTAATACCTGGGTTCAGGTTCCAGACTGTGCAAACATTTTCAGCTATACAGAAACATAATATCTGAATTATGGACAAAAAAGACTTGAAATATCTTTCTACCATTGTTCCTTAACTTGTATGTACCAAATTGGTGTATTTTTAGATTGTACTATGTTAGAATAATGTTTATTTGAAATGTTCTGATTGAGTTGTGGACTTGAGTTTCATTTAAAAAAACATGTTAAATAAATTTTGCCTTGGAGATTAAGATTAAAACAGAATTTGTGAAAAATTTAAAGTCTCCCTAAACCTGAGTTCTAAGCATGAACAATTATAAAACCAAAATATCGCGGGGGTTGTGGGGGCTGGAGAGATGGCTCAGAGGTTAAGAGCACTGACTGCTCTTCCAGAGGTCCTGAGTTCAATTCCCAGCAACCACATTGTGGCTCACAACCATCTGTAATGAGATCTGATGCCCTCTTCTGGCCTGCAGTCATATATGCTGTATACATAATAAATAATTCTTTAAAAAAAACAAAAAAAAATATCAGTCAACTCTAAAGAGGAATATAGATGCTCTGTGTCATACAGTAGTAAATATTTAACTAAGATATAATTCTTTATGGAAAAACAAAGACCTATAGCCATCTCATTAGTATGCAAATGCATTTTATCCTTAATAAATGATCATGTATGAGGCATAAAGAATAGATTTTAAATATTTCTTTATAATTTTTGGTAGTAAATGTTTAATTGATATATTTGTTTTATAAACCTATATCCCAGGGTA